GAACACAGGTGTCAGTATTGTTTGTGCCCAAGGACTGTCCAATGGTACGGTATCCGGTGCCTAAGGCAGTGACGAGCAACGGTGGCCTTCTTGTAGTTGTGTGGTATATGCATTTGTGGATCTTATTGCCGAGGAACAGGCAATATACGCTGACAGCGACGGTCATGTACTCTAGATAGAGCCGTTTGGAAGCCAAGTGCGAAATTCTATTGCCATAATGATTATACGCTTGGGCTCACGTAACTCCCCACAGCGGAATTCGGGCGACTTCTCATCCGCTGACGCTTGTGAGTTTCTGCTAGGAGTACAGGGCCACCCATATTTCGACTAGGGCCACGGTGCCTTTTCACAGTCGTGAATGACGTCTCAGGCGGAGGACATCGCTGCTACAGGCATAGAATCAATTCTGCGTTCGAGCTCTACAAGGGAATGAGGTAACGAAACATACGGTCTAGCCTCTGTGATCAGACACTTAGCGCTCGACTTAATCCTTTCGCTTTTTTGTGCAGGATGGACATTATGGGGCCCTCGCTTTGCCACAATTCTTTCGTTCTTCCTTCGTTGGATTTCCGAACGAAATTCCACATTCCATCACGCGAAAACCATTGTTCGCAAGATATATTAGGTTGTCCGGGAAGTTTTGAGAAAATTTCACCTTTTTACTTTGAAGAAGCGTGGCAAGCAAATGCCCTAACAAAAGTGCTGAAAGAGAAATGTTTGTAGATCAGTCCTGATGCTGGTTGATGTTATTTTCCATTGTTGGTGTGAGTTGGCATTACCTGAAAAATGCACTGGCGCACACGACTCCCAGCGCCTTTCACTTCATCTTCACCGTTCTGGCTGCTCTATCGGTCAAATCGAGAATGAGGCACCGTCACCGATGCTGGATAAAAACGCTCGAAAATTATCTGTAGTAGGAGATCAGTCGGTTTCTCACGTGGAAGTTTGGCTTAGGTGTTGCGTACGCCCCCGCATTCTCGGTACTCACTTCATTCTAGCTCCCACGCAATGTAATCCCGCTCAAAAGTTAAGGGAATGGGATGGACAATGTTATTATAATTATGAGTTCCTATCTCTTATCGTTGTTGATAAATGTCAAATGAGTCGGTTGAAATTTCTCAAAACTTTACCGGACACCCTAATAGAAACCCATAGCCGTGGCCTTCCCGCTTTCCTGCCATTCCTTTATCTTTCTCCACGTTTTGAATGAGATGATCTATTGTTAAAGACAGCGCCGCGCTCAAGCACTTTATAGGCGTCCTTCCTCGTTCAAAAATTCTGATCATAGCCTCTAAGTTTGTCCCGGTTCAGCGGCTTCTTAGTAAGTAACAAAGGCGGTGGATACTCATAAGCGGCTGCTCTGACGTCTTCCTTGTTGTCCCGCCAACCAAAACTCAAAGGCCATTTTCTGTCATAAGTTCAGTTTTCGCACCGTGTTTCCCGTTTTTCCTTGTTGAATGATATTAGCATCGGACGACGCCAAGAAACGACTATTGTGGCAGCGGCGGCACAATGTCTCTTTGGCGGCATAAAACGACCAAAAAACTCATACAGAGAGGTTGTCATGGGATCTTTAAGGTGTTCTCCTTGAGCTGTTTGGCTTTTTCGTTCCACGGACAATCATTTAGCGACTAAGTCGTTATTGAACGCCATACCCTTAACATGCAATCGCAGGGTTTGTCTTCAACGTTCCAGCCTTGGTGGATTGTTTCACCCTTACCCATGGAATATCGGAGAAAGTGAGAACAATTGGTCGTAGTTAAAAGCCTTTTTTATGTGGTCAACTATAGATAATAATAGAGGCGAACTAAAAGTGGTTGTGGTTGTGACGTGATTCGGTCATTTGGCATGTTAAAAAAGTTAACAAACAACCGCCCTTTTCATGGACAGCTGCTTTAGAAATAAGGTTCAAAAAAATTTACAGATTTAGCGGTTGTAGTAAGTGCTGCTCTTTGTCAGCACTACGACGCAGAGATCTGTATTCGGGTTCAATATTTTTTTTCTTTTCAGGTGAAACTCACCCAAGATGAGCGGTTTACTGGTGCTGCAAAAGGGTACTGTAAAGATGAGATTGAAAAGTTGCCAGGTCATTTCATATCATAGTTAAATTTTTGTTGTGAACTTAGCCCTTGATTATGAATCTTCGCAGACTTACAGCGGATTTATTACCCTCATTTCAGCAATGAAAAAGTGCACAGAGCTGACTCAGCCTGGATACGCGCTAAGTTGTTTGCTCGACTTCACCCCGAACGTGACGGCTACGTCTCAGTGTCATGCTTTTCTTCGTAAGTCTTCTTGTTTTCTTTCCTAGGGTCTGAAAGAAAACAGTTTTCTTTGGTACTTATGAGGAAAACCACTATGCACGCGGGGTTGTTATTAGTTTTTTCTTCTTTTGTATTTTGCTCTCAGATTATATCTGACGTTGTAATTTGTTTTTTTTCCCACAAAGGGAACCTACTCTTATGTAATTTTGGCACCAAATGACGCAATTTGTCCTTTTTCAGAGAGGACTGCAGTTCTGGCTTTCGCTGATTTCCGTCTAATTGGCCCATTTGTTGAAAAATGTGGTGCCACGGTTAGCAGGTTGGGATGTGGAACACTCACACCTCACAAAGCTCATGATGGAGTCAGAGTACCCCATACGCAAGGTACTAGTTTACCCATTACCGGTTCAGCTGTGACCAGACAATAAAAAAATGTTACTGGAATTGCATGAACAGTTAAGTTTGGAAGGGTTTTTTTTTCTCGAAATCATTGGTTTTGTATGTTTAGTCTTTGTTGCGCTTAGAAGTGAATGAAAGCTAGTTGAAGAACATTTTGACTGTTTCAAAACATGTCTCATACTGTGTTGATTCCTTTTTGGTCTGATCTGCAATGTTTTTCTTTTCGGTTGTTTCAGTTTCTGTTGTTTCAACTGTATGTGCAGAATTTGCTTCGATTTTCGGCTAACGCCTAACTTTTCTAGAGAAATTTTAGGGATTAAGATTGGCTAGACTGCGTTCATACTTTTGCTTCAGCGTTTCGAGCGCATGCCAGCTTATGCCAGCGTACAGCAGCATTTTGAGCGACTAAGAAAGAATGGAAACCGATCCTGCGCCGCGTTTTGAGCGTACGCCAGCGTTTTGAGAGGAGAAAAGTATAAGCGTTGATCCAACGTTTTGAAAGTGCGCCAAGATTTTCAGCGACTGCCCCCCACCCTCCCCCCCCCCCCAAAGCTCACAACTGCTGCCGAACATGCTCAAAACGCTGACACATTGTATAAACGAAGCCATATGGCGTTCTCGTTAGACTTCTTAGGGTGCAAGTGGAACGGAAACTGAACTACTTCTTTGAATTACCCTACTTCAAAACTCAAAAAAGTTTTGTAAAAAAATCGTAAATGCAGCATGAAAAATGTAAAATCAGAAATAAAATCAACAAGAAAAATGAAATGGAAATGAATATGAAATCAGGTCAAATTAATTTACACTGTTGCAGGGATGGCTCTCGAATGCCTGATAAGCAATGTTGTGAAGCACGGAAAAGATCAATCTGATCCATTACAGATGTTGGACGTTGGGTGCAGGCACGAGGTTTGCATACATAATTTAATAGCCCATCCTTTGGGATTTCTTAGCCTAAAATAACGAGCTCCGTAGTATTTTGACGCTCACGAGTCATTGATCTCTGTCTTAAGTGCGACTAATTCAGGTGATGCGACTTGTTGAAATGCAAACTGAAGATTTCCATTTGGATAGGCCACTTTTCTTCGCCTGTCGACAAGACAGGGAGCGAATTTGCAAAGATGTCCAAGCGGGGCAAGGCAAAGTATTTGAGTGTCTCATGATGAATCGATTCGATCAATTCATGGAACCAGAGGTAAGGTATCTAAAAATTTTGTAATGGCTGCATAATTGCACTGGTGGGGTTTTGTGTGCCTTCTCGCTCCCTCACAATGTCCAGCATCTTGTCTTTAGTTTCTGTTGTTTAAAGACAGCGCCAGCGATCAGCCAAGGTGTAGAAACCCTCTAGTGTACAAGATAGCGGAGTCTGCAATCACAGAGGAAAGACCCGCTCATGTGGCTTGGAAGCCTTGATCAACGGGGGCGGGCTCAGCTACGATGAGCTAGCTCCGCCTTCGCAAGCTAGTTCTCCCTCAATCGATATTTCATCATCAGATCTCGTTGGCGGTGATAAGATCTTTAGAGGAAAAGATCTTTCAAATATGCTTAGAAAATGAGTAGCAGCGAGGCGGTGCTGGATTCAGAGAAGTCGCCCAAAGTTCAGTCAACTCGTTCATTTACAGGGGACTTACTTGGGGGTTTTCGACAGTTTCTTCCGCTTTTTTCTTCATTAGCTTCCACTTCCACATGTTTCTGAGCACTAAACCTGTAAAAGGCGATTGCGGGGCTGTCTTTTAAAGGAAGCTGTACCACCACCTTCGAGTATGGCCCTTGCGAATAGGTCCGCAGCTGCAGTACTCCGGCCAAAAGTACACGGAAACGAGGCTGGAGAGTAGTGACACCCGTGTACCGTGTTCATACTTTCGTCCGCGCTGTCTTCGATGTGCAGCACTTGCATCGATATCAGGGTCCCGCAGCGAATCAGCGGTAGAGAATAGCCAAAAGTGAGAGCACACTGACAAGTAGCTCGTTTGGCTGATTAGGCACGTGGTTGGCCCTGCGGCAGTATAGAGACTACACCGGTTATCACTCCTCTCCAGCCCCGTTCCCGTACTTTTTTGGACCGAGAAAAGGGCATAGTACTGCAGCTAGGGACCCATTTTTCATCATGAGAGGGACCAAGACTCATGGAAATGGGTGTACAAACTGTCTTTAACTAACTTTTACAGCCTACTGCCATAGCGTTTCAATATACATTTATGGATAACTAATTGAAACTGCGGCAAGTCTCTTGTGCTCCTTGACCGTTGACATTTCAGTGTTCGAGAATATTGGCCGAGCGAGCGTACATGATGGGTCGTAACTATCGTATGGCACACCCGCTGGTGAAAGCTTGTGAAAACGAGATGAAGGAGTGAGTTCCTAGGTTTCGCGGGCACTGTTTTCCTGAACTTGCATGTACCTTATACTATCATCTTCGAATTTCCTTGTCTAAGGGGTCTCGTGTAATGTGAGTGGATTAGACGATGTAATCGAGCTTAGCGGTAAAGCATGGAAAGATGCTAGTGATCAGCTGTTGTCTTCGTGGCTGCCGCACACAACTGAGCGATTGCTCGAACTTTGTGCCGCGACCTGCGAAAGACCAAACCGGAGGCTGACAAATGAGAGCAACTGGCCTAATCATTGGAGGGTAGGAAAGAACACATGGTGAACAGGAACGTGGTTGTTTCGAGTGTGGCACCAGAATGAGTGAGACGCTTATTTTGTAGAGGAAGTTTAAACTTGCAAGCTGAGGTAACAGAACGCGGCTGAGAGCGAAGATTGAATGTGTTTAAGCAGTCACAGGGTCTGTAAATCACGCTGCAAAGTGTTATTGAATTCATCTCTCAGTGGAAGATGCTGGGGAAGGGGAGTTTCCATGCACGCGAAGCAGGTTGGAAGGCATGATAATTTTGTACTTGCTTTGAAATGGTAGC